TAACGAACTCTGCGACGTCCTTCTTCATACCTCTCCACCAAAACGACCCCTTCAGGTCGTGGTACATCTTCGTGCTCCCGGGATGGGCCAAGTAAGGTGTTGTATGTGCTTCTGATAGAATCTCCTTCCGCAATGCCTCGGCCTTCGGGACCACGATCCTGCCTCTGAACTCTAAGGCACCATCGGCGCCTAGTTGAAAATCCTGTACTCTTCCGGCGCGAACCTTGGCCTCCATGACACGCACAAACTCGTCAGAAGCCTGCTCTCGCCGGATTCTCTCCCTCAGTGTCGGCTGAAGCTGCATAGCACTGACACTGGCACTAGTGCTCCCCGAGACAGCTGTGGGGAGTGCATCAATCGCCTGAAGCTGCATCCGGGCGAACTCATGCATCAATGGACTCTGCTGCGTAATGACGTACGTCAAGTCTCCCGTAACCTTTCGGCTTAGGGCATCTGCGACGCCGTTCGCCTTCCCCGGATGGTACTGAATAGAACAATCATAATCTTTGACCAATTCGAGCCAACGGCACTGCCTCATATTAAGCTCCTTCTGCGTAAAGATGTACTGTAGGCTCTTATGGTCAGTGAATATCTCGCAGCGTCCGCCGTAAAGATAATGTCACCAGATCTTCAGGGCGTGAACGACTGCGGCTAACTCTAAGTCGTGCGTAGGATAGTTCTGCTCATGGGGCTTAAGCTGACGTGAAGCATACGCAACGACCCGTCCGTCCTGCATAAGGACACATCCCAAGCCCTGCCTCGAAGCATCGCTATAGGTAGTGAAACTCCGAGAAGGATCTGGGATAGTCAACACTGGTACTGAACTTAACCTCTTCTTGAGATGTACAAGCTTAACTTAAAGCTTATACTTACTGATTGCATGACTAGAGAATTCCATAATTTAATACTGAATAAGAGACTTGATGAACTGAAGATACCTCAATTCACAATTAAGTGAATTGTAGAATACTGCTGACTGAAAATGGACACTTTTTCTAAAGAAAGTGTTCCACTGATAAAATATGATTTCAAAGCGAGACTATGAAATATGTTGGTCGTCCTCTTCTGGCTGCGGGCGGATCTCTGATCGGAATGCTGGTGGTGAAGACTCTCTCTGCAATCTCCCCGTGTACTGAGATTCAGACATGGCATCCTTCAATGGAAAACGTCGGTTTATCATCATGGCACGATCCGTTGTTGTCGATTGGCTCTTCTCCATCGCGGCGAATGTCAACCTGTAGTACCTGCAACTGTTTACTCCCTCCGAGGTTTCACTTAACCTCAAGAAGAAGTCCCTCATGACTTAATATCTCCCACGATTTCTCAGATTCTTTAGAATTTGAGAATCGAGGCGCTGACATACTGAAAATGGTAGATAAGTCTTGTCTTACCAGACAGACTATCCTCGATCTTGTCATGACTGACCTGAATATTATCATAGCTGAAAAACCATGACTTAACTTTCCTATGGCTGAATTATCTATGTTCGAACTCTGAAAACTATCTCGAGGCAACTTAAATAGTCGCTTCGGGACTGAAAACGTGATATTTACTGACTTACTTGACTTGATAAGGTACGACTTCGAGTTTCCAGGTAAATCTGGACTAATGGTCTGTATATCAGACCGCTACCTATTACCCGGCTGAAAAACTATTATACGTCGACCTTATATCATGAACATAAACTGTAAATCGTGAATGTGAACTCTGTACTGTATAGGGCTGCTCCAGTATCAACTGGTCCCGCAAGTACAGAGTAATTCGCTGATCTTGACCTCTGAAAGTCATAACTTAAAATAGCATGACTGATAAAATATCTGACATGACTGACTTGAAAGGTTGTTATTTCCTGAAATCTCACTGGTTCGGCCCCAGCTTCAAGCCTCTATGGTATACCCGGCTGAGTGGCTCTTATTTCAAGCCTCCATGGTAACCCGGACTATTGACTCTTATATACTGGAAACCGTTACTTTAACGATGACTTGAGAACTATAACAACCTTTAACATGAACATTCTTGCTTTGAACAGGACTTACTGTTCTGACTTAGGAACTTTGAGTCTATTCCTCGAATTAAATCAAGGAATTTTTTTTCCCTGAAGTCTGCCAATTGATTGACAAAATGGCAGTTCTCGATAAGAATTTCTGAGAAACATGATTCTTAAGATTTGTTTAGTACAATGCTTACAAATCTTCTAACAAGTTACTAACTTGACTTGGTTAAGTCTAGAATTGAATCTAGAGTTCTTAAACTCAATCCTTGCCTACGGTTCTGAATTCACTTGCCCCTGGCACGGGGATTTCTTCGGCCGAAGAATTTCTTAACATGATAGTCGCGGAACTGTGCGACTACTGTAGCTTGAATAAAACTGAGTGATCGGATTTCCTACGGAGCGATATCTGAACATCGAGAAAAGTTTAACATTACTATATATGCCTGATAGACTTTCTGACTGATTACTAGGCACACAGATCTCTTGACGAGTTTCCAAGAATAGCTGATAAACACTGACATGAAATCTGAAGAACTCTAGAGTCATCTCGGAAAAATCCTAACGTCTAGAGTCATGTCTGATTACCTGAATTCTAGAGTCATATCCAACCTCTAGAGTCTGAATCTGATTCGAGCATCTTAA